TTTTTTTTGTCTTTAATCCATAATCATCAAAATTGAAACAAATAAAGGCTTGAAATATTTCACTTTGTGTGTAGTGAACTAATGTAACATATAAGTTTCACTTTTTGAAACAAATTATTGAAATAAATGGACTTTTTCTCGATATTCTAATTTTTTGGCACATACCTGTACTTTGCAAAGAAGAATGGGCAAAAATGACAGTCTCTAGATGTGCAAAGCTGGTAGAGATGTACGCCAAAAGACTTATTGCTATAATTGCAGCAAAAGGTGCTTCGACAAAGTATTGACTCAAGGAAGCTGAATACATATGCATGCCACACTTTTCATATTTTTATTTGTAAAAAATCTTGAACACCATTTATCATTTTCTTTCCACTTCGCAATTATGTGATACTTTGTGTTGGTCTATCACATAAAATCCCAATAAAATACATTTAAGTTTGTGGTTGTAATGTGACAAAATGTGAAAAAATTCAAGGGGTATGAATACTTTTGCAAGGCACTGTAACTATAACTAGAAGAAAAAGTCCAGTAAACTAGGCCTATATAAATATTATCATGACAACGTGAGGAGTTGAACACATCACCATAAAGTCTGGGCCCAGGTTCTCCACCCTTCAGCTTCCTGTTCGCTCCCTTACCTGTTAATCACTCGGGTGGGGGAGCTCTAAGAATTAGGTGGACGTCTCACAAGAGTTCCTCCTATTAGATAACGGTGACGTTTGGCTGGGAGGTGGGAGATTATAAATGCAGCCATGCTGGGAAAAAAGCAGTTCATTTAGTCGGATTGTAACGGTCTGAGTCTCCAGGGCAGGGCAGCACCTCCTCACACTCTCACAGTTTGTAACCTGGTCTTTTTCAAGATGAACAGAGTCGTCCTCCCGCTTTTGGCAGTCGCATTCTGCTTTGCAGTCGGTAAGAAAAGACTTTAAAGTATTGTTTATTCATTTAAAATGTATGTCACCAGCTAAAAGGCGCTTCACTTGCAAAACGGACACAAAACAGTTTATTACAATGCAGGAACGTTTGGATTATAAAAACTATGTTTTACATGAAACTTGGCTTCTGCTTTATTGCGGTTGGCTTCGTTTAAAATAATTTGCAGTGTTACCGCGATCAAAAGTTGCGTTTCTTTTGTGACGACACGATTGTTAAACTTCTAGATGTTGTATTTTCATAGATTTTACATTTGTCATGATATTATTTTTTAGGAATAGTCTCGAAAAAAAGTGCCCCTTAACATTTTTCCTCCGGCAAAGAGAGTCGGATCCTGTTAAGCACCTTTTGCTGCAGTAAGAATCTTAATATTTGACTTTGGTATGTGTGTGTGTGCGCGCGCGCACGCACACCCAGTGAAGGGTCTGGACTGGGCATTTTACTGGGTGTGTTCAGTCTTTACACCAGTGGTGTGTTCACATCATTTCGGGGGCAGTGGGACCAAACAGGAAACGGGCACCACTATGACAAATCTGACACTGGTCTAGATACAAAGTTAAGTTGATGTGGTAGCCTACAAATGTGTAAAACTGCCATTACTGTGAGATGAAATGTTTTTGATTAGTCTACTCTCATATTAATGTCATCTTAGAGCCATCAGCTGTTCCAAACAATTTGAGATCAATTAAAATAGTTAAATTATTTTTTAAAAATGATGAAAAACCTAATAGAACAACTTGCTTAAAGGTAAATTCAATTAAAAAAAGTTGAAATTGTTATAAGTAGGCAAGTGGATAAACAGTTGGAAGGGTTAGTTTAAAAGTAGTGGACTAACAGTTCAGAGGGAGTGTAGGCTGCTGGTTTACTGACAGAAAAGTGGTCATTAATTAACCATGTAGGTTGAGCAAATGTGTTTTCTCATCATGTGTGACAGTAAAGTGAATTTTTTTGAATAGTTATTTGTATACAACTAATTTATAAACCCTGACTTGGACATTTTTCTGACATTTTATAGAAGTGATTAATCCATAAAAGAAGGGAGCCTGTAAGATTCAACTGGAGTAAAGTAAGAGCAGAGTAAGAGAGAGTTCTGCTGTGTTTATCCTCTATGCACATCCCTGGCTAAACTCTTAATGTGTTTATTACAAGTTAGGGTGAGGCAGCTTGTTTGTGGCATGAGGATGTTCTCTTTTTCTCAGGTGTTATTAAAAGGCTGAGTCATGTCCCAGCCTGCCAACCGCTCCATGAGAAATTCCTCACATAATAACAGTAGAGGCTTGGGCCATGTCTTAAATTCCACTTCTACAGAGGGTCTGCAGACTGTCACCCAAATGGCCCTTCAGTTTTTCTTTTACTGTTGTTTTTTGAGATTATTGTCCATTTTAGTCCTCAGGATCCCCTAGCTCTTTTGGTTCAGTCTCGTTTCAAACTGCACCCTCCCTAGCGGAAACTTCCCACAGTGGTCCACTAATGAGATAACTGTTTACTGAGACTTGACATCACCCTCTACATGAGACCAGGAGGGATGAAGCTGTCTGTGTTGGTGTGCACTTGGGAAAAGGTAGATTTCAGCTGGGAGTCAGCTTGATTTTTAAAGTCAACATGTTACAGGCTGCTGAGCTGTTTCTCCAAGCATCAGCTGCCAGAAAGACTCACCTGTGTGGTTTCCAGCTATTTAAAGATCCAAATGGAAGATAAGGTTTAGAGGCAGTTCACTCAACAAGATGGTGAAATGGAGGTGATTTTTAATTTGTTTGAGATGCATTGATTTATCAATAAGGCAGCAGCTATACAAATAGTGTAGTCATGGAAATATACAGTGTTGAAGCCTTGGCTGCCCATGCTGCTTTAAACTATTGAAACAAAGGCTAGTGACTGAAAACATTAGCAGAGGGTACATTGATTAAAAATAAAAAAAATTATAAAAGGGTATTTGTGGCTTTATCCCTCATTTATTCTACCTGCATTGTTTAAAATCCCAAATTGATACCAGAGTTAGTTTTTTTTTTTTAAAAACAGTCTCCCAAATACAAGGCCCCCAGTTCTCTTTAAAACTCTACACCTTGAGTTCACTTTTTGGTTTTTAATTAAAAAAAAAACAGTTTTTCTTTCTTAAACATTTTTAAGCACACCTTTCAAAATGAGTTCACTGGGGTAAAATGTATTTCTCCACCATGAATCATTTAATCCAGTCATTTATCCCATCAGCATGGTCACCCCCATCTTTCAAGGTTGTTTCCATCATGAACTGTTCTCTGTCACATCCAAATACAAAACATGAATGTTTGTACCAGACCTGCTCTTGATATACTTATTTTTGCCGTTTGTTATTTGAGAATGATAATGAACCACAAACAGATGAAGATTTCATTGTTGTCTATACATGTTGATTTTCCATTTTGCTTTTTATCAGCTAGTTTACATATTCATCACATGGCACTGCATTTTGTTCTCTGTGCACACTGACTCAGCATTGTGAGTTACACTACGGCTCATGCTATTCACTATTTCTATTTCCTTTTGTCCCCACAGTGAGCTTAGACAGAATAATATGAAGCTTTGTAAATTTGAGCTTTTAGATCCAGATGGAGGATAAGGTTTAATCTGCTTCTGTTGACATGGACATGGATGTTGACACTAGAAACCTGTCTTATTTAGAAAGACTTTTTAGGCCTTTTGCATGCAACAATGGTGCCCTCAGGCGGGCGTCTTTGGTACTGCTACTCTTCCCAAACCACTAAAGAAGCCATTGGAACCAATAAGATTATCTGTAATTCTTCTAAAATCACACATCTGCTTATTTCATGGCATTATATTGAACACTGTTTTTTTGTTTGTTTGTTTGTTGTTGTTTTTGTTTTTGTTTTTTTTTTACAACAAATGGTGTTAGTCCTTTCTCCCTCCCTCCCTTTGGCTACCCCAAGATGTAGAAAACTGAAGGGCCAGTGCTGTGATCTGTATATTGACTGAACACTAGATGGCAGTATAAGGCTGACATTGCACACGGAGGAATTACAATAATAATAATGTGGCTCAGTGTGAATTTGTTTTCCCCAGCTCTATATGGAGCTAAAGTGCAGAACTAAAACATTAAAACCTGAGTTTTTTTAGACAGACTTTACATACAGCCTATGCACATGACTTGTGTACAAACTTAGAAACTTTAACCTCTAGAGTCCTGAGCTTTGGAAACCCAAGCTGTGCGGTCCTCATATGAGGACGCAGGGACTCTAGAGGTTAATACAACTTAGTACCTGGGTGAAAATAATTTTTTAAAACGTTGGTGTTTAGCCTTTGAGTCCTGAATGGGTAGAGTTGCTCAAGTGACATTTTCTTAAGTTTGCAGACTGTAAATAACTTTAAATCCATTGGCCTTAGATAATGGAAGTCTAAAGAGGGAACAAGAAGTTAAAATCTGACACTGGCACCGAAATCACTCCCTATTCACTCATTCCTATAAAGCCTAATGTGCAGTAAGTACCTCACCAGGAAACTGAGATTTCAGACACCAACTGATCATCAGCATTTTGTGTCATCACCAACAGCTATCGAAAAGTGTGGCGGTAGTCTTCCTGCTAAAATGGGGAGTGTTGCAGTGTGGGATTGTTAGCAGATAGTAGTTTATAGGCCATGTTACACTACTTTTGAGTTTTTGAATGACAAAGTTGCTTCAGCAGAAACTGACCATAATCAGCACCATGAGTGGATGATTTATTGCAGGACTGTAATAGACTAAGTAAAGGATCTGTGAATTTGTCCCACTTGCTAATTACAGTTTGTTTTAATGCATTCAGTACTCAGTATTTTTGAGAAGTCATGGCTGCTTTTTGTTCACGTGTTGTGTTCTGATATCGGTGTTGGGGAAGTTACTTGCTGTAACTGTAGAACACAAGATGCTTATGGTGACTGAACTCTGCAAATATGTACAGTTATTATTGTGTCAATCCGCTGCCTATTGTCTGTTGTCAAAGTCGACAGCACATGATTCTGCCTCTGTACCCAGATGCCGTTGTCTAAGGGAGTGCTGTGTAAAAGGTCTGTCACATACTTGGCAGGTGAAGGCACTGCTAGTAATATATTGGATCCCTGCAGTAGCACAGTTTACTATAACTGAACATCATTACTGTTCTAATGTGACTGCCTCAGACTGACACACCCCAGAACCAAATGTTTATTCTCTTTGTGGCCATGTTGTACCTGTTTGCAGTTGTTTTCTCTTTGTTGTAGTTTTGCATCGTTTATAATAGTTTGACTTTCCAACAGAAAGTGTTAATGGTAACTTGAAATCGAGGACGTGACACATCGGGCCCCTGGGCCTGTGGAGGCCCTTTCAGTTAATCTGAATTCTAACTGAGAAAAGTGCAGGTACATGTTGTATAAATGTCTTTATAATGGGAGGACTGCAACAGTTTGGACAGGTTGAACTGGATTTCAAATTCCCATAACTGGACAGGATGTGAAAACACTGACGGCATCTAGGAGTGGCAGCACTGAGGTCTCATGACACTAACTTAAAGTGATTCATGTTTTCGTGGCCAACATTTATTTCACTGCAATTTACGTACGCACAAAATATATTTATTGCTCTGTCAGCTTAACCCTATGAAACCATTTGTATCACATTTTCTACGTGAGTTTCTGAGCAAAAAAAAAGTTGCCAAAAATGCCCCATGTATCAAATGTGGTACAAAAAAATAAAAATAATCTAAATAATATGGCACATTTATTCCTATATGCCTGGACTGTCTGTCTATACAAATCCAGAATCTTGAATTATCTTTTGGATTTTGCTAAAAGGTTTAATAAACATCTCAGTTCCAAAATATTAGAATGTTCTGGCTATTTTTGATGTGTCAGGATTTACAGGGTTTAATTATTTGGTTTGTTGTCAGAAACCACACTTTGTTTCCCAATTAATACATTTTGTTTTATCTTACAACAGAAATTGATTGTATGCGTGAGTAAGGGAGAGAATTGCTTGAAGTCTCAGCTGTGCTTCAGGTGTAACCAAAACCAGCAGGACAGGGTGTGGGGTTGTTTGTGATGAAAGGTGTGGTTGTTATGGGATTATAACACTGACTGAAATCAGCTTCTTCTTGAGATCAAGATCTCTTTTTCAAGGGAGAGCTGGCTGGGTTGGAACCAATACAAATTTACAATATATTAAAGTTCAACATCTACAACACAATAAACAAAAATTCCTTTCACAAGATAAAAATTGACAAGAAAAACAACTACACGTCTCCTTCACCACATTCTGTATGATGTCCTTAGGTTCTACAATAGATAGGAATGTGTCTAACTTGAGATCTTTCTGCAAGTTATTCCACGACCAAGGTGCATAGTAGGAAAATGCTGTTTTCCCCAGATCTGTAAACATTTCAGGTACATTAAAAAGTAATCACCTGGAAGAGAGCAGCTGGTCACCACCAGAGCTAAGACAAAGATAAGCTGGACACTGACCCGGTATCGCTTTATAGATGAAATGCTATGGATGAGAAGAAATACACGATAGGAATATTTATTAACCTAAAAAAAGCATTTGACACAATCAATCATGAATTATTAATGGACAAGTTAGAAAAATATGGGATCAGAGGAATGGCTCTGAAATGGATTAGAAGTTATTTGACACAGAGGCGTCAATTTGTGAAGTTGGGTGAATATCAATCGAATGAGCTGGACATTGTATGTGGAGTGCCTCAGGGTTCTGTTTTGGGACCTAAATCATTTATATTATACATTAACGACATATGCAAGGTTTCTGATTTAGTGAAAGTGGTTTTGTTTGCTGATGACACTACCATATGGGCATCGGGTGAAAACCTACAGCAACTCTCTGGACGGGTTTCACAGGAACTTGAGAAGATAAAGAAATGGTGTGATAGTAATATACTATCTCTGAATTTGGATAACACTAAATTTATGGTATTTGGGAATCGTAGACTAGATAATGAACTTCAATTGAAAATTGGGGGAGCTAATATAGAACGAGTATATGAAATTAAATTTCTAGGTGTCATAGTTGATGACAAATTCTTTTGGAAATCTCATATCAGATATGTTCAGCACAAAATAGCAAAAAATATATCGATATTGGCAAGG